GCCCGGGCCCGGCCCTGGGGCCTCGGGCGGGAAGGGCCGGTAGCCCGGGGGCGGCGGTGGGGCCGGGGCGGCGGCGGCCGCAGACTGCAACGCCGCGGCCGAGGGGGAACCCGCCAGCGCCGCCATCTTGGACCAGAAACCTGGGCAGCCACTTCCGCCTGGCGCGAGGTCTGCCGCTAGTCTCGCGAGAATCCCCCCCTCCCCGACGCCCGCTTCGAAGAGCAAATTGCGCGTCTCAGTCTGTACTAGTGCGCATGTTCGCAAAGCACCACGGGAGATGTAGTTGCTCGCGCCTCCCCCGCGCAGAGCGAAGCGAATAACGCGATAGTGGGCAGCCTTTCAGGCGCGTGTCGAGGGCTTGTTGCGACTCCCCGTGGAGGTGTCGTTAGAACTCTTCTGTTCTCATCTGGCGAAAATACCTAAGTTGCACGAGAGGCTGCATCTCGGGCAGCGCCTTCCCCGGGGCCTGCGTGCAATGTTCCCTCTAAGGAGTAGCGGTCCGTGAGCGCACCGCCTTGCTCCGGCGTGGGACGCTTATCAAAGGGGGCTGGTGTCTGGGGCCTGGAGGCCAGGGGCTGGGGGCTGGGGCTGGAGCTGAGAGGCTGGGGGCCCTCCCCCTTTTGGTGCGGCGTGAGACACTTACCGAAGGTAAGCTCCTCAGCTGGGGCAGGAAGCGGGGCCTGGAGGCTGGGGGCTGGCGCGGGCTCCAGGAAACTGCTCTACTCCCCCACATCAGCTCGGGGAATGAGGAGGCACGTGGTGTCAGAGCTGGGGAGTGGAGCACTTCCCCGGATCTGATGGAGCCTGTCCCCGTCTCCATCTCTGCCTTGCCTTACCTCGGGGAGGAGCCACTGCCTGCCCCGAATGAGGCTCTGTGGGCTTCGGGACACTGCTCCACTCCCCATCATGGCCTTGGGTGGGGCGTGTCCCACAGTGTCCCGGAGCCAGCAGAGCCTCACTCGGGGCAGGCAGTGGCTCCTCCCCGAGGTGAGGCAAGGCAGGGATGGAGGCTGGGGCGAGGGTCTGGCGCGGGCTTCACCAGCTCCAGGGAAGTGCTTCGCTCCCTGGCCCTGATGTGGGGGAGCGGAGCACTTCCCCAGAGCCGGCGGAGCCTGCCCCAGGCTCTGGCCCCAGCCTCTCTTGGTGCGTGGCCTTGAAAAGGCTGTGCGCGGCCACACTTTTAGTTGTGCGCAGCTGTGCACGCGTGCACCTTAGAGGGAACCTTGCTTGTGTGGGTGTGGCACAAGCTGTTGTCCCTCTCACCATTAGGGGTGTCCTGCCATGTCTTATGTAGGATGCTCCCAAACTCCATCAGCAGAGGGAGCATCCAGTTCTGTCCCTGGTGCGCTAGTGACAGGAACAGCTTCGAGTGCTCCCCTGGGCATTCTGGCCTTGCGGGGAGCAGCCAGATTCCTGCCAGTGGTGCGGCAAGTGTCCGGCTCTCCCCCAGGTGCTCCAGCAGTGGGGAGACTGCTTGGACCTGTTTCCAGTGTCCCAGCATGTGTCTCCCCTGTGTCTATTTCTGGGCCTTCTCTTAGGCTGCTGCCTCCAGACTCCAGGCCAATCATTGGGGCTCTTCCAATTGGCACAGTGCCAGATGGCTTTATTGCAGCCCATTCACCATGCCATGGTGCAGAGGTGGGTCAGGCGTGTGCCTGTTACAGTAATTTTTTAAAAATAATTTGTAAGTTACACTTAATAAAGGTATTGGGCAGTAGCTCTCAGCTTTATTGGGATCCTTACCAGGTTTTACTATTGCTATTATTTTTGTTCTCTTAAATAAAGCTGATAATTTTCCAGTTTCCAAAATAGTGGTAACAAACTTCACTAGCCATTGAATAGTTTTTGGGCTACAGAGTTTTAAGAATCCTGGGCATATCTCATTCATGCCTCTGGCTTTACCTTCCTTTATGCACCTCGTGTACAGTAAAAGGTTGGGAGAAGGAAGGGGATGATGCAATGGAGCGTTTCTTTGCTTTTAAATGTAATTTCACTTGTTTTGTCAGAGCCTTAGACAAGGCAACAATATGACTGGCTATTGCTTCCAGTCTAATGTGGATTTTGGGTCTTGAAACTTCAGTGCTTGAGCCCAGTCAGTATAATGGAACCCAGGCCCTTCCTACTTGAATGGGTGAAATTAAGATTTTCCATTGTATGTATTGTTTTTTCTCTTTGAGCCTTGTCCAGAGATTGTAAGAGCTCAGTGGCAGTTGTAGAATCACCATTTTCTTTAAATTCGTTATAAAAATGATTGCTGTCTTCATTCTACCATGGTATGTATTCTTTTTAAAATCCTCTTGGGATACATCTCTTAGCAGCTCCTTTTATTACACTCAGGAATCTCACATAATTTTTTCTTGTGGGTTTTATCCAGCTTATATTCAAATCAGTTTGTTTAGCAAAGGAGATCCAGTCAGTTTTATTAAAGTTCCACCTGGGCTTTGGAATTGATTTGATGATTGGAATTTGAATTCCAACTGTATATAAAATTGGCCTATGATGAGTGTGTGGAAAGTTGTCAAGAACTTTGCGATGTATAGGAGGGCTAGGTTGTTGGGAGCTCTGTGTCATGAACGCCTCATGCTTGCTGAGGCTGGGGGGCATGGCGACTGCTCGCAGGTGGTGGTGGTGTGGCAGCGGTGGGTGGGGATTGCCTGCCAGTGGCCACAGTGATGTTGGCAGCAAGAGCGGGCTGAGCGGGGACCGAACCGCAGGTGGCTGCGGCAGTGTCAGCAGCGGTGAGGGGGAAACAGTGGTGAGCACTGAGTGGCAATTGGCAACTGCCCTCAGAAGCTGCTGGCAGCGGCGGCCTATCTCAGGGGGTGTGTGGCCAATCTTAGGGGGTGCATGTGCACGTGTGTGCACCCCCTATGCATTGCTAATGCTCTGCATCATGAGACACAGATCAGGTATATAGTCTTGTTGCCAGCAGGGTTAAGTGGAAAGTAACGATGTCTTTCATGTCGTAGACTAATACAAGGTCCTCCCCCTCCATCCAATCTAGAACTTTATTCCTATTTTGGTCATTGTGGTGATATCCCCATAAACTGTGTTGACTATTAAAGTCACCTGAGATGATGCTTGGGTGATATAAGGGAGGTAAGGCAAGGGTTGGCCATACAATAGCTGGTGGTTTATGTACATTAATTATTGTCATGTCAGAAATTTGGACTGAGATTATGTAAATGTCTTCAGTGCAGCTTGTTGATGTTATTTTTTAGTGTAAATTGCCACATCATAGGTGGAATGATTAATAGATACAGTTAGCCTGAATCCAGAGACTCTCCCCTTATTTTGTAGCTGATGGTTATTGGCAGTATGAGTTTCTTGAAGGGCAAGGACATCAATGACATTTTCTGCCAAAATTTTGGACAAATATTCATTTTTGGCTCTGCTTATCCCCTCAATATTGAATTGTCAGATGCACAGCGAGTTCCCAATATTATGGGTCTGAAAGCTCTGCAAAGATCTGTTGATGTTTATTTTGTTGACCTTACAGAAGTCTATGCAGAGCCGTAGCATTCTTTCTTCAGGACCGTCACAAGAGGGCTCCGCCACTCACTTAATGACTCCTGAATGATGCCTCAGGCAAGCATTTGGCATACCTCCTCTTTCACTGCTGTCTGTAGTCACTGGAGAATGCACCTCCAATCTTCTCTTACTACCTTGTTGGGGCTTGTCTCTATGTGGTGCTCAATCAGTTGGGTGAACCCAAGTTACCCCGTGAAGACCTTTGGGAACTCCTGCACTACTTGCTTTAGCTTAGACTGCTGGGTCTCAGATAGCAGTGCATCAATGGTCCTGGGGAGGACCTTTCTTGCTCTTCTACCTGGGGCTTGCTGGTCCAGGTAGGATGTCATGAATTAAGCCTCCCTCTCTCTCCACTTCAACATATTAATGTGGTATATCTGATGTGTCTTTCCTTCTAGGCTGCCACACTTCATAGCCCACTGGCCTTCTCTTCTGGATGACCTCACGTGCATGCGTCATGCCCTGTTGCCCAGAATTGACATCAAGAGGCTCCAGGATCCACTGGTCGATCCCAGTCAACTGATTGGCGACCACTGCAATGCGCGAACATTAGAAGGGCCAGCATTCTATCCCAGCATCTAGGATCCTTCCCTATGATTTTTGTGGCAGGCTTGCTGGTAACAGTCCAGCACGTAGGACTCAGAGAAGCTTGATTGTGATTGGTGAAGCATTCCCACCAATCAGGTATCTGCTGGGGAGGGGCTTGCCCTGCCCCTACCAAGGGTGAAGTGAAGAGCTCGGACCTGGTTGAAGACTGCACTCCACCTCATCCCAATTGGTCCATTTACAGTCTGGGGGCGAAGCCTCCAGAGGGAATAAAAGAGAGGCGTACTCAGCATATGGGCAGCTGCGACGAGGGATAGAGAAGAGAGCGGGCAAGGAAGAGCTGGCCAGCAGGGAGGAACAGTTGCCCTGAAGAGCCTGAAGACCTCTTTGCCAGATGAGTGGCAAGTGACCGCCTCCCCAGCCCTGCCACTAGGAGCACGGTGTCGGTGCACAGCTCGGTGCATGGTGCAAGACTCTGGGAGCTGCATGAGGCAGCGTGGGTCTCCAACCCCTGACACGAGGCCAGGCACTCGGTGTATGGCGGGTCTGGGAACAGACCAAGACCCTGGGAGCCCTCAAGGGGCTCAGGTTTCCCACCCCTGGTACAGGCAGTAGGTAGATGGCCGGTGTACAAGCAGTCCAGGAGCGGACCGAGCCCCCCAGAGCTGCACAAGACGGCCAGGGTCTCCAACCCCGAGCAAAAGGATAAAGCCCTTGGTGCACATGATGGTGCACAGGGCCCTGAGCAGGCCAGCAGCCTAGAGGGAGCCCAAGGCAGCTGGGACCTTGGCAAAAGGGGCAGCAACTTGCCCAGGGAGATGAGGACCACCCACCAGGCCCCTGGAGGCATGAGTTACTGGGGAAAGGGATTCCCACAGGGGAGGGGAAATTCACCAAGGGCCAGTGAAGCTGCCCCCCTGTAGGGAAGCCCAGGGAGGAGAAGGCTTCCTGGGTCTAGAGTTTTTTTCGCTTGAGAGCTATTTCAGTTGGGTTGTGGAAGGGTCTGAAGGGCACTGGGGAATCTCCTTCTTGACACTCGAGTGCAGTCACTGCTCCAGAACAGCCTGGGCTCTGGGTGTCCCTGAAAGATGGGGGTTAGTATTGGTTGTTCTTGCGCCTTATATTTTGTATGTTAGCGCCTCATATTTTGTGTATTTGTATTTCATGATTGTGAGCTTATATTTTAGCAGAGTTTAATTTGCCATTATCTTTATTGAAACCCTTATACTCGTTCTTTCGTATTACTTACCTATGTTCTGAGTGGTGGTAAAGAATTATATGTGTATATATATTGCATATAGTTCATGTTGTATATATCTGTTTATATTTATACTATTTCTGTTAGGGTTTATGGTATCAATACATTTGTACATCGTTAAGTTACTGGAGTGTCTTGGTTAGCTCTATAGGGGAAGGAGGGAAACTGTGCTCAGCCTGCAGTTTCTACCCACAGCACACCTGCCCTGCTAACAATCCCCTTCAATTGGAGAAGGGAGTACATACCCGAGTATACCCAGGCTACATTTTCTTTATCATTGCTTTCAAGGTTCCATTGCACCGCTCTACTAATCCATCCATTTGAGGGTGATAAATGGAGATCTGCAGCCTCTTAATGTGCAGTATTTTGCAGACTTCGCAGTACATGAAATGAAATCTATGAGAGCCCATAAACTCAGTTGCCTACATGAAATTAATTTTCCCTCCATTATTTCAAAGCTGAAAAAAATGTTACAGTCGGAACAAAATTTGAATTTATACTGACCTACCTGGATAGCAGATGTATAACAGCCAAAATAATTTCCTATTTCAGACACTAACAAGATGGATACTTAAAAGAACTACGGAGAAAGTTCCAACAAGAATTATTCAGATTGTACAGGAAAATAAATTCGCAAAAGTAACTAAGAAAAATTTTCTGCAGATCCAGTATAGAAACAGAATTGACAGCACCGCATTTGGTATAGACATTACAAATAGATGACTCTAAAGAAATTAGAAAAAAAATCTGCATTTGAGTTGAGAGAAAAATAAAATGATGAAAATGATATGGAGGACTAAAAACTTTCTGCATTTATGGTGGGATTGCCTTATTTCAGAGGAAAACAAATAGATTTTTCAATTCTGATTAAGTTACTTGCAGAACCATCAGTGATTCTATCTATTTACAGTCCAAAAGGGTATTAGTGACATGAGGGTGTGTTGCTAACACAATTACTATAAAGCAGTTCAGTGTATGACAACTTGATTTGAGGAAAGGAGAAACCCCCAGCACTATTGGCATGGAAAAGGGCAGACCGAATTAAATAATTTTTTTCCCCATTTTTGGAATTTGAATAGAACATCTACATAGATAATGCCAAGAAGTTGACCAGCAAAAATGGAACTTTTCAATGGAACAAATAAGGATTAAAAAATAAACGTATTTTTTTTAACACTTATTTAGAAAATTCATGCATGTTAATATGACCAAATAATACATTTAAAACGTGCAACAAAACACAATTCAGATATAACTATTGCACATTAGTAAAAAGTCAATGTGGATTCAGCTTGTCCTAGTTCCACTTCACCTTGTGTAGCATTCATACCTGATGTGTTGGTAACGTACATGTTGCATGTGGTAGGTGTTCAGGTTTAGAGCTGTGACAGGACCAAGCCCCACGGGCATTTGTGACACCCTCTGGTGGCTGTATGGTTCCTGCCCAGCTCAGTCTCTAAGGTAGATCTCTGCTGACTCACCTGCCACACCTTGTCCTTAATAAAGATTAGATAAAGGAGGCTACCCACAGACCTTAGAGTGAGCCTGAGTCTATGAAAATTGCTGCCAGGTCCCTCCCAGGCTCTCCTAGTCTTGATTGGGCACTTAAACTACTTAGGCCCTCTTAATCTGTCTGTGCCCCTCCAGGGCACCTATAGACTCAAAGGCTTAGTGCATGTCAATGCCCCTTCAGGGCACACAGCCTTAAGGGCTCAGTGTGTGCCTTGTCCTCCCCTACACCACGCCCTATGCCTCACAAGTCTTATCTTATCACTCATAGATATTCCTGGCTGTGCTTCCTTCTGGACCTTTGAGAAAAACGTTCTTTATGGTGCATGCGTGCAGGGTCTGGAACAAACTTCCTCCAGAGGTGGTGCAAGCACCTATTCTGGACTCTTTCAAAAAACAGGTGGATATATTGTTACAGGCTAGTTAGGCACTGTGAGGATATTAATTTAGCCACTTGGCTGTTTGGTTTGGGATTGAGGAGGCAGAATTGGGAGTAAAACAATGGCAAATTTATTATAGCTTATACACACACAACAGTTAACAGAAAGATAAATGCAATAAGCAAATAATGCAATATTAAAGAGCTAATAGTAAACAATAACAGATAATAACAGATAAATAGATCAGTCTGTCACAAGCCGGCTAGGCACTGCGAGGGTATCAGCCACTGGTTGTTTAAAACAACAAATAGACAGACATGGGTTGGCAATTTATTGATAATCCCTTAATGCCAGGTGCGCGCCAGGTGATTCCAGCGAAGTCAGTCATTCCCGATTGACGCTGTCTGAAGGATTACCGGAGAAGATCCCTTGATTAGGATCCGATCCTCACTCACACTGGGAGTCCAGAGTCCACGCTTGGAATAGCAGTTTCCGTCCTGTTCCCTCCTTCCTGTTGGTCATTTGACGCACGCACTTTTTATACCTAGTTTTATGCTAATCTGCTGGCCTCAGAACCATTCACAATCTTGTTTTATAGCTATTCCCTATGGGATTAAAAGGTGTTAAAATTATTATAAAAGGTTACTACCCAGACTTGAAAGAACTATTAGGTTAGCTAATTTCACAGCTATAGCTTTGCCTTTGAGGCCTAGTCAGTTCCACAAACAGTTACAAGTTATATTTGCGGGTTACAAAAATACAAGCTTTATATTAGACAAAAGTTCCAAATGCCTCTAAGAAGCACATATTTATTGCTTATTAATTTCTTTGGTTTTGGCCATCACAATATATTTCTTGCTGTAGTCACTTGATCCCAGCTGACTTCCCGCCTATGATGGCGGGGCTGGACCCGATGATCTCATGAGGTCCCTTCCAGCCCCTAATGCCTATGAAATCTATGAAACATCCTTGACGTGAAGTTACTGTCAATATTTTCTTCAGCCGGCCCACTCCTGCAAATATTTAAGTAGTTCCTCTGTGACTTTTGCCGTGTTAATAGCTCTAAGGGGCGCTGCCTCCAGGTACCTCATGGAATAATCTACTACCATCAGGATGTATTGGTACCCAGCTGTGTTCTTAATGAGGGGCCCAACAATGTATACCGCAACCCTCTCGAAGGGCTCTTTAATTAGTGCCTATGGCACCAGAGGAGCTTTCTGGGCCCACCCCTGGCCCTCCAACTGTCATTTGGGGCACAATTTGCCCTCTTGGTGTATCCCTGCCCAAGAGAATCAGGAGCAACCAGTCGCGGGTCTTATCGTTCCCCAGATGACCCACCATCAGAAGCTCATGCACAATCTTCTTTAATGCCCCTGATACATTTTTGGGATAAGCAACTGGGCTACCTCTCCCCACTGGTGTGGTTCCCCAGTCCACCCAGTATAGTATATTGTTTCTACCTTAAACCAGGAGTATGCGTAAGCAAGGTCTGGGTGTAGCACTTTGTCGTTACTACAGGCTATGTTGCCTTCTTCGTTGATCTGGTGAAATGCATCCTCTCTGGTCTGTTCCACCTTTAGCTGACTGCATTCAGTGATCTTACCTATGTCCACCTTTGAGCCCCTGGTGGGCTCTCTGGCTTCAGTAGTTGCCTGCATTCTTCCCCCACCAGGCCTTTGGCTGTCTTCAGGGGAGGCACCCCTGAAAGGAGCGAGGGATGGGGCCTTCTTCCCATCACTTCTGTCACTAGCTCCCAGAACCATGGCAGGTCTCAACCCAGCAACATGGGTATGACAGCCACAGAGCCACACAGACTGGCATGATGTGGTTAGCGTCCAGCTATGGCCATCCGGATCTGCACTTGGTCATAACTCATCAGTATGCCCTGCAGACAGACCAAAGTACAACAGTCCACTACTTGTCCTGGGGTTCCCTGCAATAATCCCTGCTGTACCAGAGTTTGCTCGGATCTGGAATCTGGGAGGGCTGGCACCTGCTGCACTCCCACCTGAGCTTTGGTTATGAAGCAGAGTAGGTGGTGCTCCTCATGCCTCCTTACTCCCTGGGGAATGGCTACAGCCACATTCCATTTCTTCTACAGCCAGGGGTTTGTCCTTACCTCCTGATGACAGTGAAAATAGTAACAGCTTGGCCAGGTTTACACATAAGATCTTTATGACCAAATTGAAATAGTGCATCTTGCACAAAAATGCAAGGTGGCAGCTGGTACCATACAAAATAGAGCAACCTCAATTGGTTTTATTCTCTATGCTAGATTATGCTAAATCATGAAATTGTACAAAGGCCTGACACACTCATCACATGTGTATATCTAAGAAAGCCAGAGAAAAAGGCTGAGCCAGTGAAACTAAAGAAGGCAAGGAAACTACATATATGTTTCAGTTGAACTAGCAACTAAAGACAAAAGACTAAATATGCATTTCAAGAGAAACCTATAAAAGATACAGGAAAGATGCCCTACATGGAACAAATGCACCCTTTGAAACACATTCTCACATTTCTCAAAACAGGTATCCAATGTCTAAGGTGTTACAAATTGTCACAACCCAAAGGGTGTGATTTTTGTTTTTGTATGCTTCGGCACTGCTAAATTGTTCCCGCTAAATTATAGCTTCTTTGCACAGTGGAGTTTTCTGTTGCAAAAGAGAACCCCGGTGCAAGGGAGAATTTCCCGCCAATTTGAAGCTTTCTTTGTAGGGTGCATTTCTTTGTTGCAGCACGGAAATGCTCGTTGCAAAGAGTTCCCGCCATTTGTATGCTAATTCGAGTCCCATTATTGGCCAGTTCTAAATTATGTGTGAAGATCTCTAAGCGCTGCGGATCCTTACGGACCCAGCGCATTTCAAGCAGGCAACAGAAGTCTGATCAGCCTCTAGCCTCTCCCCGTCGCCGATAGATTCCTAGACGTATCCCTCCCTGCACGCAAAAGAACCGGACCCACGAAGACTAGCAAACTTCGTGGGGATGAGTGAGCAGAAGGACCCACGGAGCCTAGCAAACTTCGTGTGAGTTTATTCAGAGCTCTTTCGGACGAGTACTTTCTTCGGTTGACACGACGGGCTCGCGTGTTTAGAGCCCTCAGCCGGATTGGGCTAGAGTTCACGAGTTTAGAACTCTTGTCCGCCTCTCTTCTTTCCTGTCTGTAACCGCAACTCAAGCAAGTTTTCCAGCCTATACCACTGCCATCTCGGTGTAAGTAAACAATCTTTAAAACTACCGCTAAGCGTTTGTGCCTAATTCCAGCTCGTTGCCCTCCCTCTCCGATCCAGTGTGCCTGGGCTGCTGGCCACAGCACGCGTGCAGCACGAAAAAGGGCTCGGGTCACTCCCGGCCCGCACACAGATATCTCAACCATTCAGTGTATGTCTGGAATTTTGTAACCAGAGCATCACTGGTAGTACAAGCTATTGCAAATTTGCCCATTGATAAACAAATAACCAAAGACTGGTTAGGTAACCGATGCCTCTAAGCATCATGTTTGACCGCTCAAGGCCCATCACATTTAATTGCTGAGCTAATCAGTAGCTGTGAGAAACACAAGTCTTCACACCTGAACAAATCCCAAAACAGGATCCAGGCAATTTAACAACTGTAATATGATGGTCACCCTTTTCTTCCCTGTTTTGTTAGCCTCTAATCAGCCATCCATCAAGGAAAAATGCG